TTTTTGTTTTGCCAGTCCTGGGGCTTAAACTCTGGGTCTCAGCGCCATCCCTGAACTTTTTTGCTCAAGGCTAGCACTCTACCACTTGAGCCCTGCACCACTTCCAGCTTTTTCTGATTATGTGGTGCTAAGGAATCAAACCCAAGGTTTCATGCATGCTGGGCTAGCCCCTAAGCTTTTGATTTCTTAAAACAGCCCAGATCTAACTGGTAGTGACTAGAATTGGAATTTGGAACAAAGACCATAGTTGCTGTTCCAGTTTTCAAGTTTAAACCCTGGGTGTCCTACCTTGGGTTCATCAACATTAGAAGCAGCTGCAATTTTTAGTATATGCCTCTGGGAGAAGAAAATTTACTGCCTTTGGGGCTGGGAAGTTGGCTCAGTGGTAGAGCGCTTGCCTTGCATGCCTGAAGCCCTGGGTTCGATTCCTCAGTACCACATAAGCAAAAAAGAAAATAGTCGGAAGTGGCACTATGGCTCAAGTGGTAGAGTGCTAGCCTTGAGCAGAAGAGCTGAGGGACAGCACCCAGGCCCAGAGTTCAGGCCCCACGACCAGACCAAAAAAAAAAAGAAAAGAAAATTTACTGCCTTTTAGTACTCCTTCCCTGACCCTCCACGCAAAAGAGGAAGTCATTGTCCTTATTCCTCTAAATGCCTGGTATAGTTTAAGGATATTTGCTGACCTCCAACAGTGCCAAGTGCTGGGAGCACATTCTTATGGGGTTGAGGTCCGCATAACAGTGATTACCTGAGCATACAAGCCTGCCCTGCACCCCGTGCCAGGGCCCCTATACCCTCCCTCCTGCAGCCACAGGCACTCATCTTTTGCCTGTTCTTAGATGGCAGAGAGGCCGCCAGGCTAATCTTAACATGACTTGGCAAACATTTTATAGGTAAAGCAGAAAAATCTAGACTTTTGGATCTAGAACCCCAGAAGCATCTTTGGTTTGAATTGGATGAATGTGGGACTGAGCTTTTTTTATTAAGTCAGTCATGGGGCTTGAACTCTGGGCCTGGGTGCTGCTCCTCAGCTCTTCAGCTCAAGGTGAGTGCTCTACCACTTGAGCCAGAGTACCACTTCCGTTTTTTTTCTGGTGGTTAATTGGAGCTGAGTCTCACAGACTTTCCTGCCCTAGCTGGCTTTGAACCACGATCCTCATATCAAGCCACTGGCGTCCAGCTGGGATTGAGCTTTATCATATTGATAATTCTGCACTCCATCTGTCTTGAGGGATCTAAAAAGATGCTTTTTTGTAAAGAAATTGTTCTCCAGCTTGAATGGAATCCATGGCCCCTCCTAACAAAGACAATGTAAAAATTAGCCCTAGTATACCTGGCTGGAAAATTCCAGTTCTGGAATAAGGGAAAAATGAAGAAATTATAGAGATAACTATAATGTCTTAGTAAAAATCAGAGTACTGAGCTGAGTGCCTGCCATGTGACAGTCAGTAACGGTCAGTATGGATGGCTATTCAGTTCTTACTAGTATCGTTACTGTGCTCGCTTTGGCAGCACATATACTAAAGTTGGAATGATACAAAGATTAGCATGGCCCCTGCACAAGGATGACTGGTAACATTACTTTTTCCCATCTGAGCTTAAAAAGGAGAACAGTATTAAAAACCACAGAAGCTGAGCATGGTGGCACATACCTGTCATCCTAGTTATGTGGGAGGTTGAGATTCAGAGGATCACAATTGCAGGCAGAAAAAGTAGGGGCTGTCATCCCAACTACTGCAGGAAGCAGAAAAATGGGGAAATCATCGTTCAAGCATATACCTAGCAAGAAGTGAGATCCTATCTTAGAGAGTAAAGCTGGAGACAGGCACCGGTTGCTCGCTCATGCCTATAATCCTAGCTACTCAAGAGGCTGAGATATGAGGATCATGGTTCAAAGCCAGCCTGGGCAGGAAAAGCCATGGAACTCTTATCTCCAATAAGCCACCAGAAAACCGGAAGTGGTGCTGTGGCTCAAGTGGTAGAGTACTAACTAGCCTTGAGCTGAAGAGCTGAAAGTACAAGCTGGGTGCCAGTGACTCATGCTTGTAATCCTAGCTACTCCAGGAGGCAACCCAGCAAGAAGTGAGACCCTATCTCAGAGAACTCAAAAGCTCAGGGACAGCACCCAGCTCCTGAGTTCAAGTGCAAAACGTCTGGGAGAGTGGCAGGAAGAGCAGAGCCTAGCAACAGAGCACTTGCCTAGCAAGTGTGAAGCCAGAGTTTAAACTGCAGGACCACCAAAGAGAGACTTGCTAAAGGCTTCACTTCCTACCCTTGGGCAAATTTCCTTATCTGTAAAATGAGTCCAGAAGGTATCTGGGATAATTCCACACAATGTATGTGGAAGCACTGGCACCTAGTAGCATTTAGCAGCTACTTCTTGCTGACTTCGGAACTCATTGCCCCAAGTTTGTTTGTTTTTTTTTGGTCAGTCGTGGGGCTTGAACTCAGCCTGGGTGCTATCTCTCAGCTCTTCAGCTCATGGCTGGCGCTCTACCACTTGAGCCACAGCGCCACTTCCAGTTTTCTAGTGGTTAATTGGAGATGAATCTCATGGACTTTTCTACCCAGGCTGGCTTTGAACCACGACCCTCAGCTCTCAGCCTCCTGAGTAGCTAGGATTACAGGTGTGAGCCACGGCACCCAGCCCAAGTGTGATTCTTTAAGCTAGAAGTGATATTTAGAGAACCAGTTTAGTCCAAACTAGAATCTAAGCCAATGGTTCTTGCCTAGGAGCCACATGAGGAAAACGGTTGACTACAGAATGCACTCTAAGGGTATAGCCCATGAACTAGTAATGCATCTTACTATTCAACAATGAGGGAGGCAAAGAAGTGAAATGGAGGCCCTTTTAAAAGTGACAGACTTGAAACATCCTAGCAGGCTGTATATTGCTGGTTGTTTAACACCCTCATAAGAATTTGATCTGTCCCATCTTGACTCACCTGGGGCTCTATACCAGAGAAATCAGCAGCAAAAGGGTTGAGCAAATCCACCTCAGCCACTGTGGCAGCAGGTAGAATAGAAACATGGCAGTGGTATTACTACTGAGTGCACAGCTGGTCACAACAGGGCCGTGACTGGACCAGATTGGAGAGGGACCTGCTCTAATTTCATGGGCCACCTCCTGGCTTTGATCCCAGTAACTCCTAAATCCTCCCTTTTCATGGTTCAGACCCACACACACACACACCCTCTTCTTCAACACAGGTGTTCCTTAAGCCTGCAGCCACCTGCACAGGGTCATTCTCCTTTTCAGGGATTGAATAAACACCGTCATTGCTTACCTACTTCCTACCCCTTCAGTGCTTCTGTCCAACCCCGTTTAGTTTCTCTCATCTGGGACCTGACATCATAGCAGTGTTGTGACTTGGATACCACATTTTTAAATAGGGCTGCCTAAATTCAGGTTCAATAATAGACAGCCACTAGGAATTGATTAAATTTAGTGTAAGTGCCAAGGTCAATTCTATTAGAATTCACAGCTCTCATGAAGAGAGACTTTGGGATGGCTCTCTTCTTGATCATGCCTGTGGTTACCAATAATCAGGTAAACTGAACAGGTTTAAACTAGTTTTTGAGGCCAGGTGGGTATTACAGACAGACCTTGTCTCAAAAACCAAGAAAGGGGGCTGGGAAGGTGGCTCAGTGGTAGAGCGCTTGCCTTGCATGCCTGAGGCCCTGGGTTCGATTCCCCAGCACCACATAAGCAAAAAGAAAAAAGCCGGAAGTGGCGCTGTGGCTCAATAGAGCGCTAGCCTTGAGCTGAAGAGCTGAGGGACAGCGCCCAGGCCCAGAGTTCAGGCCCCACCACCGGGCCCCCCCACCTCAAAAAAAAAAAAGAAAGGAAGATGTATGTGGGGAGGATTGATTTCTACTGAAAAGTACTTAAAACCCTGGGGCCGGTGCTGGTGGCTCACTCCTGTAATCCTAGCTACTCAGGCTAAGATCTGAGAGTCATGGTTCAAAGCTAATTAACCACTAGAAAACTAGAAATGGAACTTGGCTCAAAGTGGTAGAGCACCAGCCTTGAGCAAAAAGAGCTCAGGGACAGTGCCCAGGCCCTGAATTCAAGCCCCACAACCAACAAAATACACCCAAGCTGGGTATGATAGCATATTCCTGTGGTCTCAGGTCCTCAGGAGGCTGAGGGAAGAAAATCGGTTGAGCTCGAGTTCTAGGCCACCTGGGGCAACATAACAAGATCCTAGTCTTAATGTACCTACCCTTGTTGTTTATTTTTTAAGATAGGGCCTCACTGTGTAGCCCAGGTTGGTCTGGAATTCATGATCCTTCTGCCTCCACCTTCCCTAGTGGTAGGGTTACAGTCATATACCACCATACCTGGCACCTATGCTAATGTTGAACTCTTTAGGCAAGAAAAAAAGGGCTAATCTTGTCTCCCACCTAATGACCTGACCCTTTAATATTTTCGATATTTTCAGACTGCCATTCAGACTCAGATGAATAAACTTACCTGTAGATAGGACGACAGTGGGAAGTGTGGTTCTCTGAGCATCTCCAGGTGGCAGCTCTGAACACACTTTCCTTTCCTTCAGGACAATCTCTGTAAGAGATTGGTACCTATAAGAGTACCAGCCAAGGCAGGTGCAGTTCTTTAAGCAACCAGTCAGATCCCCTCCAGGCCCATTCCTTGGAGAAGTGGAACTACTTTCCCACAGAGTAAACAGTTTATCTGTGTGGCCAAAATTAAAGAGTGACCGTGCGTCAAGTCTAGCCAGCTGTCGCTCGGTCTCACAGGCAGCCCTTGAGGGTGTGAGCAGGGCTAGCTGCTGGCTGCAGTTGAGCCCTGCATCTCAGCTCTTCCACCCAGCTAGTCCAGCCTAAGACGAAGAGCCAGCCAGAGGCTGGCTTTTTACAACCATAGTCAGGACTCCCTATAATCCTATGTTCTGCCCAAGCTCTAAACTCTCATCAGACAGAATTTAAAGTGCTTTATTGCTGAGGATCCCAGAAAGCTTTCAGAGCTTCTGCAGAGAGGTTAAGGCAATTTTGGAGGATTTGTGAACAAAACAGTTGAGACTTCAACATGTCAGTCTCATTTTAGGAAAGCAAGTGTGGTTTGGGGGATTTGAGGCCGGGGAGAGGGACAGGAGTGCTGTCTCCACTCGGCTCCCTGCTCAGTGCATTCCGTGACTACATAGAGCTTTACAGGGGCCACTGTGGAGAGCAACAATGCCAGCTGCTAGGATGCTCCAAATCAGAGCTTACTTCAGGTCAAGGCAGCCTTCTAAATCCACTCCAAGTTGTGAATTCATCCTAAGCCTGGCCACTGTGATGGAAAACGGTGGCAGCTCCTAGTTTCACACATATCCTTCCATCTGGGCAGAACGCCAGGCAAAGGGAGAGGACAAGGCTCAGAACTAGAAGCCTCACCACTGCTGCCCCAAGCCCCCTGATGGCCCCCAGCCCTTGGCAGAAATGTGGGAGGAGCTGTGGGCAGCCCACCTTGTTCAGTGGCTCACAGCAGTAGGTACCCAAGAGAGACCAGGAGGGGTAGTCACCAGGGCTCATGCAAAGGGCAGCTGTGGGCCCTTGTTGGCCTCTATGCCCATCTTCAGCAGACTAGGGCTCTGAGAGATTCCTAGCAGGTCTTAGAGCCCAGCTCTAGAGCAAGGAGAGAATGAGCCTACCAGGCTGGACCCCCTCCCCTCCTGGTAAGTGTGCACACAGTTGCACCCTGAGCCCCGTCTGTCCTTAACCTTCTCCCCAGGCTCCCTGGGGACATATGGGGCCCTGACATCACCCACAGACAAGACCTGGTGGGCCCTTGCACCCACCCAGTGTGGGCAGAGGCAGAAGCAGGATGAGGAGCCACAGAAGTGGGGCATCCACATCAGTACTCTTTGGCCTCCTGCAGCTGGGCCAGATATTCTTCTTCCAGAGGGTTGTCAGTGCAGGCTCGGCCATTGTTGGGGGGCCGCACGGTGTGGTATCGGCTCCAGTCCCCCTTACACAGGATCCAGGGCAGCGTGTCCACCTTGAAGTGCAGTTCAGGAGAGAAGTTGGTGCTGATGAGGTCCGGCGCGCCTGCGCCCTTGCCACGGGTTAGCAGCCGACCCTGCTCGTCATAGCAGCAGTGCTGGGCGGCCAGTGTGCTGCTGTCCTTGGACAGCTCAGAACGTAGGCAGAAGCGCGCCGTAGGCTGGTAGATGTCCAGGCGTTCACGGGGCCCACTGGCATCCCGCCACTGGAAGCTGCGACCCTGCAGCTCGTCCTGCAGGCTCACCGCACGGTACACAGCCTCCCGGGGGTACACACAGGGGCAGCTGGGCAGGTCCTGAAGCACTTGGCTCAAGTACTTGGATAGGAAGTCGCTCTTGCAGTTCAGCCACTTCTCACAGCTGTCCACAGCTGCAGAAAAAAGCAAGGTGGTCAGGGTGCAAGCCTGACCCATAGAGGGAGGGGAGTAGACAATGAGGGGCAAAGGCATGGCTGGGGGCAGGGGCAGGGCAGAACAGAAGGACCCAGGCCAGATCTGGGGGCAGATAAGGGCAGCCAGGTCCTGTAGGTACCAGAAAGAAGAGGTTGTTGCTCAAAATGAACTGGGGGATGGGGACGGGTGTCATCTTCACTACTGCCAAGATTCTGCGATCATGGGAAGGAGTCCAGGTTGGGGAGAGGGAGACAGGAACAGTGGAGGTTTTTGGCTTTTGGGTGGTGTTTTGGGACTTGAAAGGAGGGCTTTGCGTTCTACCTAAGTTTTCACTCAAGGCTGACACTCTACCACTTGATCCATACCTCCAATTTCAGCTTATTTTTTTTTTGGGGGGGGAGAGGACTGACTGGTTAATTGGAGATAAGAATCTCATGATCTTTTCTACCCTGTCTGACTTCAGACTGAGATCCTCAGATCTCAGTAGCTAGGATTCTAGATGTGAGTCACCAGCTCCCAGATAGAGGTAGTGATTTTTCTTTTTCTTTAAATATAATTTTATTACTTTTTTTTCTTTTTTAGTTGGTCATGGGGCTTGAACTCAGGGCCTGAACTCTGGGTCTGAGTGCTACCCCTCAGCTCTTCAGCTCAAGGAGAGTGCTCTACCACTTGCTACAGTGCCACTTCCAGTTTTCTAGTGGTTAATTGGAGATAAGTGTCTCACGGACTTTCCTGCCCAGGCTGGCTTTAAACCACAATCCTCAGATCTCAACCTTCTCAATAGATAGGATTGCAGGCTTGAGCCACTGGTGCCTGGCAACTTTTTTCTTTAAATTTTTTTTTTATTATAAAAGTGATGTACAGAGGGGTTACAGTTTCATAAGTCAGGTAGGAGTAGTGGTTTTTAACCAAGGACTTATTTCCTTTTTTGAGGGGTAGGGTTCTGGTCTTGGGTCTTGAACTCAAGGTCTGGATGCTGTCCCTGAGCTTTTGTGCTCAAAGCTAATGCTCTACCACTTTGAGCCACAGATCGATTTTCAACTTTTTGGTAGTTAAAGATCAGCATCTCATGGACTTTCCTGGCCAGGCTCTCTTTGAACCATGATCCTCAGATCTCAGCCTCTTGAGTAGCTAGGATTACAGGCTTGAGCCACTAGGGCCTGAAGTGTTTTCACATTTTAAACACTGGTCCATTCTTATCTTCATTTTTCTGGCCTTAGAACCTCAACAAGGCAGTCTGCCACAGGACAGCCTCTTGGCTTTCTCTGCTGCCTCCCCAGTCCTGCTCTCTTCCAGGGAGAACAAACTACCCCTTCTTCTTGGCTCACAGACCTTTGAGGGCCTGCTTTACCATACTGTACTCACATTGGTCATATGCGTCCTTGTGAGACTTGAACTCTTTGACTGCAGCTACCAGACCTCTGTTCACTATGAATGCTGGCCCCAATACAAAGCCGGTGCATGCTATGGGCACAAAGGCGGCTCAGGAAGCACTCACTGTGGGAAGCATAGTTTCACCTGTGAAACAGGGCCACCTGACCAAGAGACACAGCCTTGGAGTGCCTAGTAGAAGCATGGTCCACTTCCCACTTGCCTAGCACACAGCCTTACAGTTCTGGACCCTGACTCATTTCTGATCGCTTCACATCCTCATCCCTAAAGTAGACCCTGCAGGAGCCTCCCAAGTATCCATCTTGTGGCCAGAAGAGATAACCCTCCACCCCCTGGATCTCTCAGCTCTGTGACGCCATCATGACTTTCTTCCAACAGGGAGCAAGGAACTGGGAAGGGCCAAAAGATCTGGTCTGGAAATTGAGGTCCCTCTCCAGGAGATACAAGGCCCTGGCTGGAGGCCAGGATCCCACCATAAAGTTAATCACTACTCTCCTGAGAAGCGGGGCTCTTCTGTGTGTCTGGGTTTCGACCCCCACTTACCTGGGTCAAACATACCCGTCGCATTGTGGACCAGGGGCAGCCACCCCTCACTGGGGAAGTCCAAGGTGTTCTCATCCTTGGTGCCTTTGGGAAGAGAGGGGGCCAGGCTGGTGGCACCATGCTCCCAATGGGGAAGCCCAGCCCTCACCAGGCTCTGGGTGCCCACAACAGCTGGGACAGGCCTGGGACAGGACCATCACATTTATGAGCTTCCTGCATCCCGTCTCCCCCAGCCCATCACTCCTATGACAGTCCCACACCCCCATTCCCCAAAGGCCCAAGTTCAGAGTCTATGCTCCATTTGCCATGCCTGTGCAGGGGCAGGGGCACGTCTCACCAGGACAGGGAGGCAGGTCACAGACACGGGACTCGGTGGTAGTGCAGGCATAGCCGCAGGACCGAGTCCGTCGCTGGCTGCCGCTGCTGCAGCTCCCACTGCAAGGAGACCAGGGGCTCCACTCCTCCTGGGGCTCATAGTCTGCATCAAGGCAGGGAGCCAGGGTGAGTGCGCTCAGCCTGTAAGGCACACTGGTGCAAGTAAGCAAAGACACTCCTTCCTCAGCTGGATGCAGCCTGTGTCGGGACCCCTAGTCCAGTACATGAAATCATGGGCTGCCTTTCAATCTGAATTGCTCCCTTGACTGGGTACCTTGTGCAGTGAGCAACCTGTACAGATAGATGTATTAGATGGGCAAATGCTTCACACAGAGCTCTATGGAGACCATGCAAACCTCAACCATTGCCAGCACAGCAATGGATAAGAAAAGCTATCCAGAGCTGAAAGTCCATGACCATTATCAGTAAGACCCTGGGCAAGTCCTATTACATCCTACTTTTTGTTTTGTTTTGTTTGTGCTAGGGCTGGGGCTTGAACTCAGGACCTGAGCACTGTCTTTAAGTTTTGTTTTTTTGGGGGGTCGGTTGTGGGGCTTAAACTCTGGGCCTGGGCGCTGTCCCTGAGCTCTTCAGCTCAAGGCTAGAGCTCTATCACCTGAGCCACAGACAGCACCACTTCCAGTTTTCTGAGTGATTTATTGGAGATAAAGAGTCTCATGGACTTTCCTGCCCAGGCTGGCTTTGAACCACGATCCTCAGATCTCAGCCTCCTGAGTACCTAGGATTATAAGCATGAACCACCAGTGCCCGGCTCTTTGAGCTTTTTTGATCAAGGCTAGTACTCTATCATTTGAGTCACAGCTCCACTTCTGGCTTTTTTTTTTTTTTTGGTAGTTAATTAGAGATCAGAGTCTCATGAACTTTCTTTCCAGGCTGGTATTTTTTGTTTTGGCCTGTCATGGGGCTTGAACTCAGGGCCTGGGTACTGAGCTTCTTTGGCTCAAGGCTAGTGCTCTACCATTTGAGCCACAGCTCTACTTCAGGCTTTTTTTTTTTTTCTGTTTATGTGGCACTGAGGAATTGAACCCAGGGCTTCACGCGTGCTAGGCAAGCACTCCCACTGAGCCACATTCCCATCCCCCAGGCTGGTATTTTTAACCACAATCCTCAGATCTCAACCTCCTAAGCAGCTGGGATTACAAGTATGAGAGATAGGTGAACGGCTCCTAGGGCTTTTATGTCAATCTAAAACCAAGGGTGACAATACTTCTCTGGTACTGGGGTTATTAAAGAATGCCATGGATGTCCTTGGAAAGCTCAAACAAGCTGTGTCTAAGCCTGCTGTCCTAGGCTGAGCAGGGCCGAGGGCCTGGGGCTCAGTGCTGGAGCCCGGCATACTACTTCCTGGTAGGCCACACAGGGTGAGCAGGCAGAAAGAGTTGGGAGACAGTGGATGAGAGAAATGCTGAAAGTTGTGACATTACTCTAGAAAACCTGAAAGAGATTGTGATGATTTAGTCTCAATTACAGGCACTTTAGCCCAATGATAAGACCTCACGGCTCCTGGGAAAACAGCTACAATGGTATATAAACCATGTCTGCTCCCAGAGGAAGCCGAACAATATGCAAAAATAAATAGTAGGCTGTAGGTGCTAAGAAGTATTTCCTGAATAATTTGTGCTCTGGTATCTTTTTCTATATCTTTTTTTTCTAATAAAAAGAATGAGTCAGGCACCAGTGGCTCATGCCTATAATCCTAGCTTCTCAGAAGGCTGAAATCTGAGGATCGCAGTTCAATGCCAGCCTGAGCAGAAAAGTCCCTGTGAGACTCTCATCTCCAATTAATCACTCTAAAACCAGAAGTGGCACCATGGCTCAAGTGGTAGAGCTCTATCCTTGAGCACAAATAGCTCAGGGACAGTGCCCAGGCCCTGAATTCAAGCCCTATAACCAACTAATAATGAAGGAGGAGGAGGGGGAGGGGGAGGGGGA